TTTTGATCATCAACCTGCAACTGGCACACGAAACATACTACAGAATGGATAAACTATATTTAAATGTGGAGCTTAGGATGTATATACAAACTAAAGTTTACATGTTTAAGAAATTTTATTGAAGTTTTAGCTATGAGATTTCGTTTTAAATATTGAGGCCCTGCACCGTAATAATTTTGTCAGTCTAAGGTCTAGAAAAAATCCCCCCCCCCTTATCTCGCGAACTGTCCCCGGACAATTAATCCCTGGACAATTTCCCCCTAGATAACTGCTCCCGGAACAATTACCCTTAGGATAATTATCCCCAGGAGAAAACGATCAACGGCGTTAGGGTTTCTCATTCCACGGAAGGGACTTTTGACAACTTAAGTCGTGGTTCAGAACACATGTAGAAATATGAAATCAAATGTCATTGCTTTTAATTATTATTTAAAAACAAGAATGGGGCGGAGAGTCTGTCAAAATGAGGGAGTGGGGGAACTACCGAAAAAATCAAACTTTTGGAAACAAAATATACAAGGTTGAAAAAAAAACCTATTTGAGCCATATATACAGCTAATATAACCTGTTCTTAAATATCTTAGTTCTTTTTAAAGCTATAAGTGTATACGTCATACATCACAACTGAATAATAGCCAAATCATGGTCACCTGTTACCATATCCTAACATGTAGGAATGGGAAACATTTAAAGAACGAACCGATAACGAAGAAGATTATTCATGATAACGTACTAAACGGGATTGTGTATTTTGAAAGCCTACTGTATAATACAAAACCTGTTAAAGATTTCAAGATAAAATTGGAAAGTTAAACAAAAAAGACTTCTTTGGGGAAAGATATTGCCTCATAGTTGGCCTAAATGGAGAGCGAAAACTTTTAGGTAAATTAATGAAGAAAAAAGATAGGAAATATGAATAGGTTGATAAGAATGAAACTATATTCTGTTAAAAGTACTATTCTGTGCTTCCGCGGTGACGTAAGTTTGCATTTAAATCTAGTTAAACGGAAACTAGAAACACAGCCACTTCCGAAACACCGGAGTGTGATTCTAACAATTACTTTATTAATTTTATCTCGCAATGCTGATGATATTGCATCAGTTCCCCATTAAACCGTCATTTCCGTATATTCATTACAGATATAATGGGCAATTTATCGAAGATATACAACTTTATTTTCGAGAAAAAAAATTCACAACTGCTTAAATGCAAAGGAGACAAGTAAACAATCTCTTGAAGCTGATTATAATGTTATTAGAATTGGTGGGCTTTATTAACAACAAAAAATGTATCGAAGCCCTGAGGATGAATTGTACAATATCTTCATAATGATTTGAGGGTCATTTTTAAAGCTATTGCCCAAGGTCAGTGGGTGATCTCGAGTTTCTCTAAAAGTTGTCAACATATTCTTTTCTTTGTATTATTAACAACAGTTAAAAAATCATTATCGAAATATCATGGTGGAGCAATATGTATAACCTTGACCCGAAAATAAGTATAGTCATTATTTATTTCGTAAACCGCATCCCCAGTGTAATTTCTCAAAAAGAGAGATTTCACCAAACAATGTCTGTCAAAATAAGTTTACTTCATGTGAATTCTATTCTTCTATTAAAGAGCATTACGTGTGTCCCACTGCATGTATCCATCGTCCAACGCACAGCAGTCAGTAGCGAACTTCATGCCGTCAGGTATGATCAATCAGAGGTCTAGCATACTCACATGTGGCAGGCGCGGATCCAGGGGGAGGAGGGGGGGGGGCGAAATGGCCGCCGCCCCCCCCCCCCCCCGCAAAAAAAGAGAGAAGAAAGGAAAAGAAGGGAAAGAGGAGAGAAAGGGAAAGAAAGAAGAGGAAGAAGGGAAGAAGTAGATCGGGGGGGGCGAAAGGGCCTTGCCTCCCAGGCTGTTGCCCCACCCCCTCCCCAAATGAAAAAAAAATAAGAGAGAAGGAAGGAAAGGGAAAGAATTAAGGAAAAGAGGAGATACTGGCGTACTGATAGGGGGGAGGGGCTTGGGGGAAATCAAATTCAAACGTGGTTTATTTCTAATTCCATAATGGCAGATTACAAATAATGCTGAAATGACATAATTTCCGAGATTTTTCCTCACTTTTTAGTAAATTATACTTTTTTATGCGTTTGTCGGAAAATGACAAATTCCTAAATTTACAGCCAGGCAAGAAATATGATTCTTGAGATTCCTACATGTCAGGGCCAGAGGAACGGCGGGGATCGGGAGCCTCGAGCCCCCCCCCCCCCCCCCCCCACTTAAAAAAGTATATTAAAGAGAAAAAAAAAGAAAGAGAGCAAGAAAGAAAGAATAGTTAACTGCCAGTGTCAACAAATAATGAGGCATCAAAATATGCTCATCTGACCGTGATTAAATGCCTAAAACCCTTAAGCTTCCGGGGGCTCTGGATTCCACCAAGGGCCCTAAGGCGGGCCCTTAGATGCTCATCTGGGGGTAATATAATGCCTAAAACCCCTGATTTTGGGGGGCTTTGCCCCCCATATGGAAACGTTTGCTTCTATTTGTCTCATAAAAGAATTTGACCACAAACTGACTCCCACACGGTGTTGAGTGCTAAGGGGTCACAGGCAGGCCCCCCAAGCTCCGCCATTTTGTCCGGATCCATTAGAAGCCAAAATAAGCCCCCTTGCATAATTCATGAGCCTTATGAATTATGCATTCTGTAGGATGCTCCCCGCGAAAAGTGTACTGGAATGATGTTCACCACATGGTAAAAGACATACGCGTATCAGCGTAATTAGAGAGGTCAAATAATCTACTGTACGGAATTATGGGTAATTTATTCATCACGCTGCGCGCTAGCAACGCAAGTGATTCAGCGAATCAGCGTGGATTATTCTGATGCGATCACCGTTAGGTGAAATACGCGCTCGAACTTGTAATATCGATCACCAGTATAACAGCTGGTGTACCCAGGATGCATCGGGAAGTGGACCTAAAGTTCCTCTCGTTGTTGTGTTGTTGTTGTTTTTTAATATGGGGGAGTGGCCTTAACTGGCATTGAATAAGAAATACTGATTATTCCCTTTTTAGTCTATCAATAACTGGGTCTGTTTTTGTTTTATTAAATCAAACATGCTATAAGCCATATAACAACTCATTCTCTGGCTATGATTATACATTTTAAATATGCTAATGTATAAAGTTTCCTTATTTTAGACAAACAAATTATGTGGCAAAGTTGATGGTTTTTCTCCACCCACTCATCGTACCTTAATGATTCCCTTTCTCTTTCTCTGTCTTTCGTAAATTATCTTCTGCAACTAACGGTTTGTTGTCTTGACTGAACAACCTGTTGCAGTTCCTTTCTGTCTCACTTTCAGTCGTAGTTGTTATTACCACTCATTTATATTTACTCGTTATCAACTACGATCAACTATTCCATATTCACTCCATTACTGTCCACATTTCACTTGGATTATCCTCACTTTTCCTTTTTGCAGCCTTTGCAGGAGCTTTGAACATTTTAATGTATAGACCAGAGAGATCGGAAAATATGTTAATCATTTTATTCAAATTTTCTAACTTGAAAACGGAAAGTGAAACATTGTTTTTCAACATCTTGACATAATTTTTGTTTAAAGAAAACGGAATTTAACACTGGAAATTTTAAATTGGGTTGCCCCCCCCCCCCCAAAAAAAAAACACAAAAATAAACAAACAAACAAACCCAGAAGTGGTACAGTACCAGGGTTAGTTAGTTAGGAGGCCCATGTCCTTTATAATTTTATTTTTAAGAATATTTTTCACTTTTTTTTTTATTAATTTGACATTGGTATACCGTTAATTTCACTTGGAAAACTACCCCCTTCCCTTACACATCAATACTGCCATTACTTCTAGCAACAGTAATTCTATAATTCAAAACGTTTTCATTTTCTAAATCCTTTTAAAATAAATATATAACAAATATAATATTGTTTACACTTTTGCAACCTGTTACATGGTCCATGTAGAAACAGCACCATGAAGAGGATAACAAGCCCCCCCCCCCTGTTTTCTTAGACTAGGAAGTATCAAAACATGATTCTATTAAAATTAGCAGTTTGGATACGAAAGGCAAAATGATGATTAGCAGTTTCCATATTTAGTGCATTTAGAGGGTTGTCTTTCAAACCTTCTTACACACAATACTTGAAAAAGTCCATAGACTGAGGTAAATGAATTTCAACATGTATAATTATAATTAAAATATCATTGATTAATTCAATCTTTGATATAGACTGATAGATCTTTATCACTCAAATTTCAAGGAAATTTCTTTCTGCCCAGCCCTAAGTTTCATCCGGCTATAAAATGGTAGTTGACATTGTTAAAATGTTAATGTTTATTCCTTGATGATTAGTTATCTTTGATTATTTGAAAGTTGACAAGATGATAAATTCATTAGCTTTTTTTAAATGTGGTATTCTACAAACAAATAATACAAATAATAAATAAATAGCATGTAAATATTCAAGTTTAAACCCATCTCTACTGTCCTCTTTCATTATATGAAGGTGGCATCTTTAAGACGTAGTCCCATGTAGATGTTTTCTGCATCCATCAATAAAGTTGTAGCCTAGTTTTCAAAAGAAAGGGCTGTTATGATAACCGAAGTCTGTTGAATAGAAAAATGAAATAGGATACAGTGTTATAAGAAAATCAACAATAACTAATAACATACACCCTGATACCTGCTCTGACAAAATGAGGAAGGACCGAAATTCACTTGGGGTTCTAGTGGGGCAAACCTAAACTATATTCCTACAAGACTAGTTACTGACCACATCTTAGATTATTTCAGATGATCCCATTAAGACAATAGGCCTGATGGAGCTTGGATCAGGCAAGGTATGAAATAAGTAATACATGTACAATGTACTTGTACTGTAAACTCATGCTCATAATTGAATAATACTCGGTTAAGTATGGGACATAAATTCACCAAACAAGTTGGACCAGAGAATGTGCTCTGATGGAAATAATGCTACTGAAACATACGTAATGTAGACTTATATTTCATCTATATTGACATTTTATTTTTAATCTAAATCACAATTATGATATTCAGTCAAGTATTCTTTTACAAGTCAACGGACAATGAAAAATATCTTTGTCAGATCTATAACTTTCTGCATGATATGTGTTCCACAATAGTTTATTGGGGTACCTACATGTATATTTAATAGCACACTTGCTCGTATGAAGAGTAGTAGGCCTGCATCTCTAGATATGATCCCGTCAATATCTGTTCTTTGTTCCTCTCCTGAGTTTGTAAACCAGCATGGCTTCATCATCCACTGTAGCGAAGCATCATCCTACATGAGAGAAAACAATGTAGGTACTTCAATTACAAATTTATATTAATGGCTACATATCAACCATAATACATCCTATAAACAGACTTTCATTGATCTTATTTTGTGTTCTTCTTGATCTTCATTGCTCAAGAAGTGAAAGCACTTCCAAAAAAGTAATGAGGGGTCCTGTGTATACCATACATGTATGATCATGTAGTGCTTTGAATGTGCATTACGCCCCCCCCCCCCCGAACAAAAAAAATTATTTAAAAAAAAATTTAAAAAAATATGCCAATGGCTTACCTGAAAAGGTGACCTTACCCCCCCCCCCCCTCCCCCAACGGAGAAAAATGTCAAATTAAAACTTTCCCACCGTGTGCCCCCCCCCCCCCCTCCTTCCCGGCAAGAAATTCCTGGACCCACCCCTGCCCCTGTATACGCTTGCAACATAAACTTAGTTACATTTCGTGTTCAGTGAATTAATAGGTGGTCGTTTTATGTTTGTGTGCTAAATATCCTGATTTTTTTTTTTACCTGGATGGGACTTTCTGCGTCATCTTGCAACTATAAAAAATGTTGTAATGTCTACTCATCAGCTAACTCCTTCCAGCTCTTCTTCAGTTTCAATCTGTTGGAACAAGAAGAAAAACAAATCAATGTGACAATCAAGGCGTCCCTTTCTCCTTAACAAAATAAAATAGATCTAGCAATAAAACTAGACCCTACAGCTATTTTTGATGTCATGGTTGGCCTTAATGTTAATATGGTGTGGAAATCAACATTCCTATTTAATGGACCACAGTACAAAGTAAAACTAAATGGAAGATTTAACTTGTGCCTCAAAAAGTGCTTTAGGCCTAGGCCTATATGGCCTATGAATATAGGCCTAAAGTAGTTTCAAGTAGAATTGGTTTATTAAAACAAGAAGAAGAGGTGGACTACATAAGTAAACATAATTGTGGACTAGGGTTCTTCTCTTACACAAAAAAAAAAGATTTATCAACATGAACTGCACAATTTGGAGAAGAAAAAAATCTCTAAAAATTAATAGGGGTCTAGATTCGTCTCGACTCTAGTCTACAGATCTATATTACAGACCTCTCAGTCTAACTAATGACAACTTGACAAGCACACTGGACCCACTATTAAATAAACAAATCCTAAGATCTAGTGTTGTTGTTTTTTTAAAATATTTTTATTAATAAGTTCCAGGTTTACATCTAAATGAAATAGGATTTGGAGTTGTTTGATTATCAATGGTCACAGATAATTTTGGTCTAGAGTCTAGGCCTATTCTAGGCCTAGACCCTAAATAAAGTTGACACGCACCGCGTATACCGATGGTGCAACTACTATGAGCGAACGGATGGCACTGATGATAAGTAAGCAATCAGGGTCCACATCTACTAAAGATTTTAACAAGAATTAATCCACTAGGATTATCAAAAAATCATGCTTCATAGATTATTTTAAGGTGTAACGTTAAATCTATATTTAAATTCAATCGATGATTGGTGAATTAGATTCATGATGACGATCAAATCTGAAATAAAACTTGATTTGAAAGTTTGATCTTGATGCAAATGAGCACCGAAATTCCCCGGGGTGGGCCTGCCGAAACCCCGGGGCCCTAACTGGAGTACTAGGGTGAAATGACGGCAAACCGCAGTCAAACTACTTCATGACGATAAAAATCAAAGTGCAATTTCAAGAGCAATATTTTCCAAGTGTTTTCCCAAACAATCTGTTGAGAACTGTCTCAAAATGAAACGAAATTACCGTAGATCACGAAGAATATTGTAGCTTTTTCAAAATTGATGACTAAATTCTCTTAATCTACTCATATTTCAATCAATTACTCACCCATTCTCAATGAACTAAATCTTCTCAGTTTGTGCGAGTGTAGTAGCGTCGTGCATAAATCTGCATAATTAAAGTGACGCAATGAGGTCAAATATATAATCCGGTTTCTTAAACGATACTATCGATAAAATACATATTCATGAGGCTCATATCCAATCAAAAAGCCGCCTCGGGTGCTTATTTTGTCTTCAAATGATCCAAAAGAGGCGGAGCCTAATCCCATTCGTGTAATGGTTTCCGCGCGTGCTGCTTTCCGTCTAGTAATTATATTTAAACGTCTTTGGTCACAGGCCACTGGCTTCATCGGGCAGGTAGTTCCATTATGTGAATGGGTAAATTAACTATTACAAAATGAGGGGACACACCACATTGTACAATAGGGACACACATTGTTTTTATTGTGCAGAACATGCTCTTTTATTGACTTACTTATTGCATGAAACTATAAAACCAAAATGCATTTTGTATTCTAACAATTTGAGTACAAAGAATAATAACAGGTGAATGAAATGCATAAACACCACAAACACCTGGGGAGGAAGCATTCATAAATTTGAATACATATAGTTGATAAACAACTCCGATGAAACTATAAAACCAAAATGATATTTGCGTTCTGGCAATTGGAGTACAAAGCATGATAGTAGGTGAATGAAATGCTTCAACAGCAACACAAACACCTGGGAAGCTAGGAAGCATCCATAAATTTGAATAATTTAGTTGATAAACGACTCTGCATGTGGACGTTTGTTGGAGCAGAAAGCAGTGGATTCTTAACAACACGAACCCATTTAACAGAATGTCGGAATGTTAATTAAATTTGGCGCGGTTGGAAAATGCATCTTTCTACCCTGCGACTTTAATGGTACGATCCAGTAAATTAAAACTGTAAAATGGGTCTTATTTTAAAATTACTCATTAAACAAAACCCAAAACTTCAGTGATATCATAAAAAATATGTTATATCTTACTAATAATTAAAAAAAGATGTATAAACATTGTGAAAGTGTCGCATTTTACGATAAAAGACACCGATTTAGCGAAGATGACGTCATTAGTGCGCTTGCATCAGGGAATTCAAGGTCAAAATGTCAATTCAGACGCTGATAAGTTATTGGTCGAGCCTTTTTGTTTCCTTTATTCCGACAAAATTATACAATCAATCAAAACAAGATTGGTACCAGAAGAAAGCTAACGATTAGTATTTTCATTAACCCCTTGCCCCAAAGTCTCTTGACCACAGTGAAACGAGTGAGAGCTTGCGAGAGCGGCCAAAGTGTGATTGAAACTCGATATTTGCTCTTCTCCAACGCAAAAAAAGACGACATTGTGCTGGATAAATGTATTTTTTCCGACAAAAGTACAGAAAATTTGCATATGGTCTTTTTATATTATACTTTATGAAATGTTACCCGAGTGACTTCCGGGCGCCCCAATGCTGGAAAGAAACGCACATTTTAGAAAACTTCACTTTTTCATGGAAAAATGCTTATTTGTTCTATGCACGCAAGTCAGATTGAGCGGATGATACAACGTTTCCATATGGCAAATTTACTGGTGCATTGTTTTAGGGATACACCTAAATGTACCTATCGGGTTCTAAATGTCATCCTTTAAATCGTATAGCAGACACTTGTAGGCTAGGAGCTGAATTCAATATTTATTTATATATAATAACAGTTTCTACTGGATATCACCGTACATTGCATCGCTATATATACAGTGCGTCCCAGAAAAAAACCGAAACCAAGAATTATCGATGTTTTATCATAACTTAATCACATTTATAATTGATAAATGACACGTATTTGGAAAGCTTAGATATATACTCCTCTTTCATTTGATGCAACTCATATGATACATATTTCATGCATGAGTGATTAAAATAAATTTGAAGAGAGGAAACCAAAAAAAAAAGTCATTTGGCGGACGGTATCTGAATTTCAAAGAGAAAACCACATTTCTACAAAGTTGAGGTTCTGCCCTTTCATATGACACCTCAATCGGGGAAAATGAGCAAGGAATGACAAAGTTCTGTTTGTTTAAAGTAGTGCTTGCATTTCCATAATTTTATCAAATTCGTTTTCACTGGGTGCCTGCCATAGCAACATGCAGAATTGACTACAGACTTAACTCCGTTTCGTTGACAATCAGCCATGCATGAAGTCTTTCGTCTACGGCTGATTGTCAACGAAATGGAGTTAAGTCGTATTTGACCCCCTGTGATCAATGGAGCTTTGATAACAATGAACCGTGCATATTTTGTTCAGAAATAGAAGAAGAATCGTTGAAGCGATATGAGTGATTATTATCTATATAAGGCTTTCAAGTGGAACAATAAATCAGTGTATTCAATATCTGTAGCGCAGTACCCGGATGACTGACCAATATTGTTGTCATATCTTCATCATTACTATCATTATTGTTATTATCACTACTACTACTACTGCTTATACTACTACTACTATTACTACTACTACTACTACTACTACTACTACTACTGCGACGACGACTATCACAACTATTACTACATGTACCTACGATATTAAAGTAATATTATCATGCCTTCGTTATTTTCTTTGGATAGAATATTCCTTCGGTTCACAGTATGATTATATCAGGTTCTTTTGATACACTATTTCTTGGGTTCACAATTACATCATGTCCTTTCACAATATTATTCTTTTATGTTCTTTCGATAGACTATTTCTTCAGTTCACAATGTTATTATATCATGTTCTTGAGATCTCTCAGCGATTATGGGTGGAACCATGAGACAGAATACAACCGCGTCGACCGCTGCGATAAATATAAACGAAGCGTTGAAAGTACCGGTCAAGTCTGCCACGTAACCTGCAGAGAAAGAAAAAAAAAAAGAAAAAAAAGAAAAGTTCTACTACTACTAATAATATAATATATTATTACCCGTATCAGACATCTGAGCTGGTCATTTACAAAACCGTATTGCCCTAGTTTTCACTAGCAGTGGGAACGGAGGGGTATATTCTTTGTATTTTCCTTGGTCTCCCTGCGCGTATTGACTTTGCGTGTAGAGACGAGTGAAAATATACCTTGGTATTTTCCACGGTCTCGCATTTTCATTGCGCATCTATTAATATTATGCGTACGAGAACCTGCGCACTTTGCGCGCACTCTATTGTGACGTAATAATCACACCAAATACACACTGTTTGTAGTGTATCGAAAATTTTGTCAAGCACTGGATGCACAGTGTTGGTTTGACAAAGTTTGTTCAGTTCTTGAGATTGTCATGGTGGATGTCTCTATTTGCTCTAGATGTCTGATTTGGATAACAATAAAAATATTGACTGGCTTTACTTTCGGGGGATATCAGAAATATTGACCGCGCTAAGACCATATTGCCCTCGTCTTTCGACTCGGGGCAATATGATCTGAGCTTGGTCAATATTTCTGATATACCCCTCAAGGCCAGTCAATATTATATAATTAATATTTACAACCGATAGGTCCCAATTTAAAATCTGGGTGAAAAGGGGGCAAATGTGGAATAGTCTCTTGCCATAGTGTTTGGAATTCGATATACAGCAAGATTGGGTACATTTATATTCATTTTCATGTTCATCTTCATTATTCCAAAAGGTCACAGATTGCTTTGTGTTTAGATACTATAAAAAAGACTTTTCCGGTTGCTCCTGGAGAATTTCTTTCACAATTTTATGTTCAAATTTGACAAAATGTGCTCCATCAACCTTTAATTTAACTGTAAGCGGCCTTTGGAACTTATAAAGAAAGTCGCACCTGATAAGGAAGCTCCAAGGAAAGCTCCTAGTCCGAACACAATCTCGGAAGAAGCTAGTATGACGGGAAATTCGGACTCCGGAGCCCTGTCTTTGCAGATCACCAATAGAAGAATGTTCCGCTCGGCAATCGTTATTGACATAATGAACGACGTCACAATCATCAGAGCGAATTTAGGCACAAATATATCAGCTAGCAGTGACGTGATGTTGAGGAAGGTAAGAAACAGAAACCAGTACTGCCCGGAAAAGATTTTGTACTTCAAGAGTAGTCCTCCGAAACAACGACCGATGAAGGCTGCAGTCGCCGCCGAGTAAGCTAGGGACAGAGCCTTGGTCGTCGAGATACCTCGGCCGACCGCACGTGGGATAAGAAACGCGTGCCAACCACCGTCTACCATAGCGAACACCATTGTAACTAACATCAAAAGAATCATCCAGGGATCTCGGTTGTAGATAGAATCGCTAAGGATTCGACAAGTGATGGCATATAGCCCAGAGCAGTTCATCTGACCGACTTTGTTATTACGATACAAATTAGAAATTGCTTGATGTCGTTGACTAGTGGATGGTCCCTCCATTAATTTTGCATCATCACGCAGTGTCTCTTCGTTGACTTCCTCCATGGGGTCGTTGCCATTTTCACTCCCGGTGGCGATATTTGCAGGTGTAACATCGGCCTTAAAACCGTCCGTCGGTGCTTTATCCCTTTGAAGAAGTGACGCTTCCTGAAGAAGTCTTGTATCACCACAAATTGATTGTTCGTCGACCGTTACTGGTGCTTCCCTGATCATCGTGCAGGACGCCCCTGCGTTGATATCCACCATCAAGGTCAATGGGATCAGATGGGCCATGATGCCCCCGATGATTAGTAAGGAACCTCTCCAGCCATAGATGTCCATCAGGAAATCAGCCAGTAGCGGCACCAGGGCTATCCCGAAGGCATATCCCGATTTGCCAACACCGTAAAAGATCCCAAAGGCATCACCAGATTGGTCACTAAGGGTAATTACGAGTGAAACCGACAGGATGTTGGAACCGAGTCCTTCAAGGAAAAAAATGCAAAATTACTTACTCTTTTAGATTATTATACTATGATTTCTTTGATATGAATTGAGTATCAAATAGGAGATAAGCAATAAAGCATTCATATAGCTCCATTTAGTCTCATTTCACAACGCCCCCTATCGTCATGCAGAGTCAGCAGACATACATGTTAGCCTATGGAATTGTACCAACAAAAAAATCGTTAAAAATTCATTTTTTGTTTAAACGAAAAGCACATCCACCCCAACTTAGGTAATCACTAGCTCTTTCATTGGAACCCTCATGTCCCATTATCTTTTGAAAGTTCATCCACCGTTATTTGATCAAAATAGGTTGCAAGCTCGTCATTGCCTATTACACATGTGAAACAAGTCGAACTTTGGACCCAGTTTGACAAGCGATTTTTAAGATTATAAGTCAAGCACACGAAGGATAAGAAGCATGAATTATCATAGATCACTTCCGCTTGGTTCATTATGTCCATTTCATCCTACCCCTACCGTCATTTTTCCATTAAGTAAAAGCAAACATTTTGCCGAGGTAGGCAAAAAAAAGAATATTCATGAACGGTCAGACAATACAGCCTTTTAGTGCGTAACGTATAGTGAATGGGAATGGGCGATGATCCGTCCAGGAGGTAGAGGTCAGTGGTTTGTGCTGGCAATGTTCCAGCGAGCGAAAATGAGACAATCGGAGCAATATGGCTCGACACGTCATGCAAATGTAACTAGACATAGTTGCTGATTAGTTCTTTGAGCTGGAGCAAAAATGTTCCTTCAAAATTGTCACTACACTTTGTTTTTCTTATCATTTTCATCGACATCATCACCATTGTTATTGTTATATTGGGTTTTGAACACATAGGAAAAGACACAACATATACATGTATATAAAACTATGTAAATCTTGAAATGAGTAGCATAGCATAGACCTCAAAATTCATTTTATATTAGATATTGGTATATAGAGTTTTTACAAAAATATTTGATTCGGAAGTGCCCCTTTTTATTATTGTGCCCCCTACTTTCAAAGACCCTCCGCAGTCGCTGATCATTATGCTATTATGCTAGAACCATCACCGTCATTATCATCACCATTATTATCATCAACATATTCATCATCATCAACAACATTATCATCATCATCATCATCAACAACATTATCATCATCATCATCATCATCATCATGAACATACCAGCAACTGAGAGACAAACATCTAGTTCAACATTATTGGTAGCCCAAGACGCCATGAGAAGCCCTCCCGGTGCCAAGAATGAACCCGTCATCACAAGGCCTCTACGGTAGCCGCCATGAAGCCTTTGGTACAGGTAGGCAACGACTGGACCTGCATTATGAATACAACGGTGATGATGATGATGATAATAATAATAATAATAATAATAATAATAATAATAATAATAATAATAATAATAATAATAATTATAATAATAATAATAATAATAATAATATTAGTGATAATAATCAGATGATAAAGAGAGCGGGGATAATGCCTACGTAATCGAGAGTGACCTGCTGAAGTTTAAGTTAAGTAGTAATGGCAGTGGTAGTCGTCGACGTATTACTAGTAGAAGCAGTAATAATAATAATGATAATGGTCATAATAATAAATATAATGGTGATGGTGAGAAGAAGAATAACAGCAACAACAAAAACCAAAATAACAAGAACAAGAACAAGAGAAACAAGAAGAGGAAGAAGACGAATTGTGATTATGACAACGGGAACTGGTCATAACTTTCGTGTAGATGTTTTTGATAACAATATAGGGAAGGGGGCATGGGTGTCGATCCCGGGGGGGGGGGATGGGGGGATATATCCCCCCCCCCCCCAATATTTCAGGTGGGGGGGGGGGGTGGCCTGTACAATCATCCCCCCCCCCCCAATAATTCACCATAAAAAATAACAAAATGAAGAGAAATATTAATGAGAGCCGATGAGAGTAGTTAATGGTTATTACTCGCAAGATGATGATCAATATACACATTTTGCGATCTCATTTTCATAATACATATATATATATATATATATATATATGAAGTAAATGAGATAACTGTATATGAGACAAGAACAAATTGAATTCTCGCTCATACGGCTTCATCAGGAATTGATGAATTTATTCAATTTATTCAATCAACAGCATCATAGAAATGCAGTGCGCCAAATGTAAAGCCGCAGCGTTAAAAAGCAATGAGCTAAAGGTTAAGCGCGAAGCGCAAAAGTAGCAATCTGCATCAAACAATTATTCTGGACAGTGTGAACATAGATGAACTCTGTGACGAATTCGTGATTAGATCGGAGACAAGGAGAAAGATTTTCGGACATTAGTATGACTTATAAGATAGTACACTAGTTGCTATGTTGTTTCCGTTCACCCTTTTTAAAATTCACGGCATTGTATCTTTATTTTTATTTTTTTCTCTCATTTTATTTTCTGATATTTCATAAAACATTTTTCATTTTGGGAGAAAAATTACAATGTCACATCTTATTTTTGTTTTATTGAAAAGCTGATGTAGGCCTATGTCACTGGTGTACTGGTGGGGGGGGCTTGGGGGCGCTAGCCCCCAAATATATCACATGATTTTCAACAAAATTCCCGTTTCTCCATTTCTGTTGCAAACTGACACATTCCCAAACAGCCAGGAAGAGCATGTATTTTGTAAAGTCGCTAATGGGCCTAATTAGTGGCCGATTACACTAAAGCAGGGCTCCCACTTAGCCGAGTTGGAGGTTCAAGTTGTGGCGAGCTTGCGCGATCTTATGGCAAGCAGTTTTACCATTAAAACATATTTCTTGATATCAAGAATTCAATTCTTGATATCACCCCGGGGAGGGGGGAAACTGCCCCCTCCCTGCACCCAACCTCTTAGGGAGCGCGCTCTGTAAGTGATTCGCGAGCTCACTACCGCCCCCCCCCCCTAAAATGAAATCCTGGCTACGCGCTTGGGGAGGGGGTGCAACCTGCCACACGCTACTACCTCTTGGTTGCTTTGATCCATTGCCGAAAATATTTTGGCACCAATCATCCCCCCCAACCATGGATATTTTATTTATTTATTTATTTATTTATTAAAACATCTTTTAACAGGATAACATTAATCAGCTCGCAGGCTGTTTTACATAATGGTCCTGCATAAGGATGGAAAATACAAATACAGACTGACGTTAAGAGTAGTTACAAACAAAATAGCAGTTTTATACAAATGGTAAAAAAACGAAAACAACACAAATAGAGAAAATAAGCTTAGGAAAGACGAAAAGAGGAGACAAAATATAAAATAATGCAATATGACATTTACATTATGACATTTTACATTAGAATTAAATATAACAATGAAGTTAATAAACATTTTATGTCGAGATTAAGCCCAATGAGTTGTAAATATGGTTTATATTGCATAATTATAAAAAAATAAACATCAAATTTAGGACGTAATGTAGGTATTTGAAATTTCTAGGTAATTAGGTTAGCAATCATTACAGGTTGTTGCATATAATGTTGTAGTAGTGAGGAGAAACGGCAGGGAACAAATTTTATCCTTTAAAGGAATATTTTTATATTGATATTTAAAACTCTCTACTGAATTGGCATTTTGGATATCATTGGGAAGCTTATTCCAATTAACCGCTCCAGCATACTTAAAAGATTGTTTGAATAAGGTTACGTTGGGTTTTGGCAATACTACATTAAGGGAGTTTGCATTTCTTGTGTTTAGGCCATGGCGGTCGAAATACATTTCTATTTCATTTGATAAACGAGGTGGAGCAATGCCCCTTATACATTTAAACATAAGCATAGCCAGAAAATAATCACGGCACTGATCAATAGTTTGCCAGGACAGTTTTTTATCAATGTGTTGCCGCTTGCAAGTTCATAGTCAAAGATACCAGTTACATATCTAGCAGCTCTTTTCTGTAATCTCTGAAGGGGCAGCTTGTAGCTGGCTGGGCAATTCCCCCATACAGATATTGCATAGTCTATACAGGGTTGGATTACACACTTATAAAGGGTGTTCAATAGTTCTGGGATTTATTCAGCTTTCCTAGAGAATAGATTTTATAGGCAATAGATTTACATAAGTCTCTTAAGTATACATTCCACTTCAAATTTTCATCAATCACTATACCTAAATATCTTATAGATTTTACCTGTTCGATCAGTTCATCCTTTATCTATATATTTAATACTTCAGAGGATCTTAATTTGATTAACATTGTTTTGGTTTTACTTGTTTTAATGCGTAATCGGTTTTGTTTATACCAATTATCAAGAGCATTAATATCTTTTTGTAATTTCTTTGTAACATCATCTATCTTACTTTCTGCAACAGTGACTACAACATCATCAGCAAATATGTTGCAGACGCCTTCAGTTATACATTCAAAAATATCATTTATGAATATAAGAAACAAAATGGGGGCCAGGACACTGCCCTGTGGTACTCCGATAGAAAGCTCTCTTGTATCAGATAATTTTCCTTTGGAGTATACCACTTGCTTCCTATTACTTAAGTAGTTTTTGAACCATATGAGCCTGTTTTCATTTATTCCATATTTTTCAAGTTTGAATAGAAGAAGCTCGTGATCAACACAATCAAAACATTTAGAGATGTCTAGAAAGCATGCACCGACCATTTCTTTCGTATTTAAGGCTTCGTAGAAGTCATCTATGACACGATGTAAGCATGTTACAGTAGAATGGTTTGGAAGAAAGGCGTATTGATCGACATTAATCATATCATGTTTTTGAAGGTAGGAAAGTAACTGTAATTGTACTTCCTTTTCTATAATTTTGGGAATATGACTAGCACCCGAAATTGGTCGATAATTTGTTTTTTTTCATTTTTTGAGCCTTTTCCTTTGAAAATCGGTGTGGTACGTGCAATCTTCCAATCACCAGGTACTATTCCCGTATCCTGACTTGCATTAAAGATGGCACATAGGGATTGAGCAATATATGGTGCAGCTAATTTGAGTAATTTAGTGTCAAAGTCTAAGACATCTAAATTGCTATTTGAAGCTAAGTTAGTTAAATGTTTTGGAATCTTGGAACTAACAATTGGTTGAAAATAAAATTCATAAATACAATGTGGATGATTCCATTTCGGTTTTTCTTTAACAAATGATCTAGAGATATTGTTACCTGTATTAATAAAAAAAATCGTTCATTTCATTACATTCAATATTACAGCTCTGGTCCTTAGACTTTGTCACTCCAGAAATCTTATTCAATTCTGTCCATAATTTCTTCGAATTATTCTTATGTTTATTATGTACATCCCGAAAATATTCCTGTTTTTGTTTTCGTATGACACAGATAATATGTTTTTTAGTTTGTTATACTTTTTATCAAAATCATTTCGAATTTCTTGTTCAGGAGAAGACACGGACTTTCTTTTAAGAAAATCTCTGGTGTACATAAGTTTTACAATTTCGGGAGTCATCCAAGGAAAAAAATCTGTCTTTTACCCTAGTTGTCTTGATAGGTGCATGTTCGTTACTTATTTTCAAAAATGTTTCTTTCCAAGTATTCCATGTTACTTCGATTGGAACATCGTTAGTTAATTGAAATATTTCAGCTGATTTTATAGAAGCAATAAATCGATTTTCATCAAATGATTTATAATCACGAAAACGACGAGTTTTATGTTGCTTCCTTTCCAGGATAGTATTAATACAATTATACAAGTATAAATCATATAATGGTCACTCATGGAAATTTGTGCAACATCACATATAATGTGCTGGGGAATTGAACTTAACAAATGGTCTATACAAGTTGATGATGAAGTAGTTACCCTTGTTGGTTTATTTATCATTTGTGTTAACAGGAAAAGATTTTCTATGAGGTTAATTTGGTTTTCATGGAGTGATTCGTCCATTTTATAATCAATATTAAAGTCCCCTAATATCAGTAGATCAGATGGTTCATCAGTTGCTTTTTCAAATGCATCTAGCATGTTATTAAAGTACTCAATATTCGAGTCAGGTGGTCTGTACAGGCAACATAATAATAGTTTCTCAGATGAGGGTAACATTAACTCAATCCATATTGCCTCCAATGAGGTATCACTGAGATCATAACGTTCAATACATGATAATGTGTTTTTTGCATAAATACAAACGCCGCCTCCACGGCGACCATCTGATCTATCCCGCCGGAATAGTGTATATCCGTCTATTGAGATCAGATTATCACTTGTAGTTTGAGATACATTCTATACATACTACAAACAAAAGTGAGCTAATTTTAGGCCGTTGCATGTTTTAAGTTTTTTAACACAAATATCATATTCGTTGTTGTCGGATATTGAGGAATTGTTTGAGTCCGAGCTAGCTGTATCATCGTCATTAGTGAATTCATTTATTGGAGTTTTGGATGGTTCATTTCGCTTATCCTGTTCAATGTCGATACCTTGGAAGGGGGCTTAGAATACATTCTTTCTTAACAGTCAGGTAAAACACTCATTGATCAGATAGAGATTATAACAGTACTGTAATGGGCTACATACCTGGAACAAATGCAAAGGCATCGAACAATCCCAGAGCTAGTCCTATATCGGTTGAGGTTAGTCCTAAATTCCGTTCCAGTTCTGGTAAAAACACAGCGATGGACTTGATCGTGCCCAGGACAAAACACGTTTGCAGGAAAAGAGCCAGGGTCGATTTTAGAGCGCTTATATTCTGAAAACTAAAAAAAGTTGCCATTTTGTATGTACATGTACACTTGCCTACGTCAACGGTCAACGTAAGATTCCGTAGGCTAAATCTTGAAATACATGTATTTGACCCCCTGTGATCAATGGAGCTTTGATAACAATGAACCGTGCATATTTTGTTCAGAAATAGAAGAAGAATCGTTGAAGCGATATGAGTGATTATAATAATTATCTATATGTAGTAATGAGAGATTGTTGCCTCATGTGGCTGGACCTGGGTTTGGTGCAGGCTATTGCTCAGTGTGCACTCACTATGAACGTGACGAACAAAGAAAGCGGACAAAATATACAGTTCCTCAGGTAGACAAAGGAACATCCCTTCACTGCTATTATGTGAAAAGGTGAATATGCATGTGACACCTGTTCTACACATTTTTATATAATAGCAGTGAAGGGATGTTCCTTTGTGTACCTGGGGAACTGTATATTTTGTCTGCTTTCATTGTCAGTCATGTTCATAGTGACTCAGGCCTCTGAGTGCACGCTGGACAATGACCTGGGCTTGGGTTCGGTTGCAGGAGGTGACAGCTTTCACATGACTGGAGAATACATTACTGCAGAGAAGTCACAAGTGGTGCACGTGCATAGTGGGCATTTGAGTTGCATATGAGTTAATCATTCGATTATCCTTATAAATGTTACATCTATTTATTGTTATATATGTACATGTATCCTACTTATATGCTTGTTGAACAATTATTGATGTCCCTATGGATGATTGACAGAATTTGAGCATGGGTGTCGATCCCGGGGGGGATGGGGGATGTATCCCCCCCCCCCAATATTTCAGGTGGGGGGGGGGGGTGGCCTGTGCAATCATCGCCCCCAATAATTCACCATCCCCCCCAAAAAAAAAAGAATGAAGAGAAAAATTAATGATGAGAGCCCGATGAGAGTAGTTAATGGTTATTACTCGCAAGATGACAATCAATATACACATTTTGCTATCTCATTTTCATAATACATACATATATAAATAGAAAACAAAGTAAATGAGACAACCATTTATGAGACAAGAATAAATTGAATTCTCACTCATACGGCTTCATCAGGAATTGATGAATTTATTCAATTTATTTATCATCATAGAAATGCAATGCGCCAAATGTAAAGCTGCAGCGTTAAAAAGCAACGAGCTACAATGTAATGTTAAGCGCGAAGCGCAAAAGTGCACAAAAGAAGTAGCGAGTGGGAGAGAGAGATAATGGAAGACAGAGTGGATACAGGTGCGTAGCCAGGGGGCGGTGGGGCAGTCGCCCCCCCCCCCCCCCCCCCCCCCCCCAAAAAAAAAAAAAAACGCCTGCCAACAAAAAGAGAGAGAGAGAGAAAGAAAGAAGAAAGGAAGAGGACGTAGGAAGAAAAAGGATTAAGAGTTGAGAACTGTACAACGAATCGTCTTCTTTCTCTAATAATTTAATGAAACGTCAAAGCTTTCGCGCTTCGCGCGAGAGGGAGGGGGAACTTAATTCAGACAAGGATTAAGAGTCGAGAATGGTACAACGAATCGTCTTCTTTCTTTAGAAATTTAATGAAACGTCAGATCTTCCGCGCTACGCGCGGAGGAAGGGGAACTTGATTCAAACAAGGATTAAGAGTCGAGAACGGTACAACAAATCTTCTTTTTTCTCAAATAATTTAATGAAACGTAAAAGGAGGGGGGGGGACTGAATTCAGACAAGGATTAAGAGTCGAGAATGGTACAACGAATCGTCTTCTTTCTTTAATAGTTTAATGAAACGTCAAAAGAAACCGAATTTAGACAAGGATTAAGAGTCGAGAATTGTACAACGAACCGTCTTCTTTCTCTAATAATTTAAAGAAACGTCAAAGCTTTCGCGCTTTGCGCGGGAGGCCCTAGGCAGCGCGCTTCGCTCGCTTCACTACCTCTCCTAAAATAAAATCCTGGCTATGCGCTTGAGAGGATAATAACCCAGGAAGCAAGCCCATGTGGGACCCACATGGTTCCCATATTCTCTGAAATGTTATCTTTATTGAGGGTGACTTGAAAAAGTTAATAACTTGGAAGGAAGGGGGTGCAACCTGCCTCACGCTTCTACCTTTTGGTTGCTTTGATCCATTGCCGAAAATATTTTGGCACCTATCATCCCCCCAACCACGGATACAAATCGACACCCCTGAATTTGAGTGTGTAATGGGTTCTTGCTATGCGATCCTTTTTATAGTATTTGAGTGGCGTACGTGCATGTAAACGAAGTGAAAATCCTAAACTCGCACTTGTTAATTTATTGGTGGTTAGATGTTTTACGATTTTACACAGATTAATGGTCTATATTACTGAATTGTATGTATTCATACCTTTGAATTTTGATGTATGTTAATTGTAATATATTACGTTTTATCCCTCATAGGACCACAAAGACTGTATTGTACAAGGGCGTACGTTGAAGACAAGCCTTTTTTTATATAGTGTGGGCGGTGAGTCTTATTGGATTTTTAATTTGTATTAAAAAGATATTGTTTGCATTATGTATTGAATGAATCTGTTGTTACTTTTTACACTTCAACTGTAATTTAGGTTTTGCTTAAGTGATGTAAGGAATTATATTGTGAAATGAAAAGTTAACTGTCCTTTAGCCGTTATATTAAACATGATATATTATTTAATTAACCTGTTCATTGAAGTCATGAAAATAATAGTGATGATTATTTAGTTGATACAATGTTTGAAGCTGGTCTATAATGAACTTATTTACTGAACACCTTCTTTGTTGCTGATACAGATCATGAAGTATATAATAATGTAATTGGTTATTTGAATATTATGATGTTTTTAATTTACATTTGTTTTTACTCTTGTGTTTCTACAGGGGCTGTTTTGTTGCCTTCAAAAAAACAAAAAAAAACATCAACTGTAAAGCGTCTGAGAGTGTATTCATTGGCCTTTCTTTCATATATAATAGTCAGGTCAATATAATTATGGTTTGACCCCCCAAAATTGCAACAAAAGGTTTTTCAACGGTTTCTAGTAGTATTTGACCTCAGGAATAACATGACCTCAGGTATTTCCTTGAATTGGTTTGAAAATTATTTGAATAATCGTAAACAATTTTGTTATTATTGATCAACAGCCTTCTGATTTATGTAACGTTGTGACTGGAATTCCTCAAGGGAGTATCCTTGCCCCCCCCCCCCCCATTGTTTCTATTATTCATTAATGATCTTCATTATGCTTCTAGTAAACTGTCCTTTATATTATTTGCTGATGACACAAATATGTTTTTGTCTGGTAAATCTGTTCAGCAACTGAATAGGGATTTGAAAACAGAATTGGAGACGGTTTCATGCTGGTTTTATGCTTATAAATTAAAGGTCAACATGACTAAAACTAATTATATGGTGTTTAAAGGTAGAAATATCAATTTCGATGTTGATGAATTACATGTGCAATTAAATGATGAATATTTATCCAGAGTCTGTTCAACAAAATTTTTAGGAATATATGTAGATGAAGGCTTAAACTGGAAGACACATGTTAACCACATTGCCTCCAAGATTTCAAGTGCTATAGGTATTCTTTATGTTGTACATAAATTATTTCCTTTGCCAATCTTATGCAACCTTTATAATACATTGCTGCTTCCTTACTTGTCGTATGCAAATATTGTTTGGGGCAACTGCTCAGTAACCCTTCTGAATAGACTTTTAGTTCTTCAAAAGAAAGCCATACGCTTGATAACCAAATCTTCCTACCGAGCACATACTGCACCCCTATTTAAACGGATGAATATTTTAAATGTTAATTCTATATATATTATGCAGCTTGGTCAATTCATGTTCCAGTACAAACATAACAACTTGCCACCTGTCTTTGATGACCTTTTTATACTGAACTCTTCTATTCATTCATATGCTACAAGAAATGCAAATAGTTTCCATATACCCATAGCTAAGACTTCTTTTTTACAACAACGGATATCCTTCAATGGACCTATGTTATGGAGTCATCTTCCACCTGACATCAAAAATCGTTCTTCATTGTATTCTTTTAAGGCTAAGTTAAGATTATTCCTGTTAAGTAACCCATCCTTTACAACATTCACATATAGGTATATGCACCCCCCCCCCCTGTCTTTGATATTTTCTCCCTCTTCTTTCTTGTTATTGGTACCACCTCATAATTTTACCTTATATTTACTTTTAAGTTTTAATTGTATAATTTTGTTTAATTATTGGGGTAGTCCTCGACAAATCATTTTTGATTTTTGACTACCCCTTCCACATTTGCTGATTTGTTTCTTTTTGAAACATACATTGCTCCAACTGGAGTCGTTCTATATATATTGTACATGTTCTATTATTGTATTGTATGTATGTATTTTATTCTATGTAGCTCCCTATGTTTTGCATTTGTGGAGAAATAAATTGAACTTTGAACTTTGAACTTTGAACTAAAAGTATACCAAAATCGAAGGTTCAGAAAGCTGTTATTTTCAAGATGGCGTCCAAGATGGCCGCCGATACCTAAAAATGGCCATAATTCACTTATCATTCATCCTAGAGACATAATTTGGTTTCTACTTCGTGGCTTCGGGGGTCAGAGAATCCATTGAGACAAGTAAGAATGGTTTGTAATGGTCTAGGAAACCCCAAAATCCAAGATGGCGTCCACAATGACCGCCATTACATAAAAATTGCCATAAGTCACTTATTATCCATCCGAGAGACGCACTTTATAAACAGGAAATGAACTTATAATGTTTCTCTCTCACCCTTATGGTGTCACAGACCCCTCCCCCAGAAAAGGGGTGAATTCAACTATTGACAGTTCATTGTCAACACTGAGGGAGTTTTAAAAATGTTTAAAACCTCGTGTTGTTCATGTCATCTTATAGCGAATACACATGCAGATCTTCATGTTCCTTCTTTTTGATGAGGAATGTACTTTAGTAAGGAAAAATCATCTTCCTCTTTACTATCAAGTGACTCGTTATATGGATTGTGGCATACATCAAGTTGGCAAGGTCCACACACACACTCAGTGTTACATCTGCAGGCATAGCAAGGTGTGCTACAAGCAGTACAGAAGTCGCAATGAATCAACTTAAGAAGATTACTAGGTACAGCCTCCGTATTCAACATCATTGTCCTTTAATTTCCAGCCCCAGTCTGTGGCGTCTATGTCTTATAATTCACT